TTAAAAGGTAAATCTTTTGACTATTATGGAACTTTAAAGATGAGAAGTATCTATTTCCTTTCCAATCTTTTTCAGTTTTTCCACAAAAAATGTCAACCATGAGCCTAGGTTTGTTTTTTCTTTCCTTTATTTTGTTGTACCTGTTCAATCTTTTTTTTTTTTTTTTTTTTTTTTTTTTTTTTTTTTTTTTTGCAGATGAGTAAACTTTACGTAGTTTATGTTAGGCTTGAGCCTGACATATATAAAAGTTGGGATGAATGCAAATCTCAAGTTCAAGGAGTTTCAAATGTTGTGCATTGTTCTATCTATTCAAGTTATGATGTTGTCACTACTTTTGAAACATTTATAGAAGAAAGAAACTGGTTGGAAGGAGTGAGACTCATTCTTCATTCTCTTTCTTACCACAATATGTTTATAGACTAAATATGTAACATTGACATTTTTTTATCTTTTTCTGAAGAAACTCATCCTTCCTTTGTGAATCTTGTGCAGAACCTTATGGTTTCAAATAAAAGGAAGACCATTGGAAAACACTATTATTTTTGTACAGTAAGCATTACTATCATTTGTACGAGGCAATGAGAATCAAATGATGCCGATGTTAATTATAATATTAACAATATTTTTGGTTTTTTTCCTGCATGATTGAAGTTGACTCACTTTTACTTTCAATTATTAGGGTTGTGGTGATATGATGTATGTCAAGGATATGAGAGCGAAAAAGTGCAGCGGTGGGCTAAGCATGGGTAGCTCTAGCTCATCATCAACTATTATTCTAGCTTTAGCAGAGAGATGCGAAGCTCTGGAGGTAGAGGTCCAAACAGTTACACAGCAAAGGAATGCTTGTGATGAGAGAGCTAAGATGCTTGAAGATGCATTGAATGATATTAACAATCTAAAATTGGGGGAATAAAACAGAAATTAGCTTCAGCCACTTAAGCAATAAAATATGTATTTGGGCAAGAACAAACCGAACAGAATGTTGTAAGTCTGAGGTTGTTGGGAGCTAGTATTGTGCTTTTCTTTTATGAGTTTCTATTTTTAATGTCTCTTATTATTGGAAAGAAGGAAGTTTTATACACGAATTCCTTGGCATCTAACTTCTTTTTCCCCTATTTTGTGATATTGGAAAAATATCAATTTTGCCGATGTAGCCAAGCCGACCTTTCTCACTATCACCTCTCTGCTATCATTTAGTCCACGAGTAGCACGGTTGAGTTCCTTGTCAAGAGTATAGTTTTTTCGACTGCCACATTTACTTCCAAGTGGGTAAGTGCAGGGCAACTGGCAACAACTCCATTGATGTATGTTATAGTACTAAATTAATGGTTTTCTAAAGGAATATGCATACTCGCTTCAATGGAATTTAGTCTTCTAAGATTTGTGTATTTTTTTTTGTTTCAGTTTTTGGCAATCTGTGCTCCTTGGCTATGGTTAGTGTCTCTTCTCTCTATTTAATATCAAACCAATTAATAGTGTAAAGGAAATTGCAGATTGGAGTAATTATGGAATATTTATGCTAATAAATGGTTGGAAATTTTGCCTTCTGTTTTGGTGTAATAGTACTTTTACTAACATATTTTTTTTAGGTTACTGTTTAAAGGTGTTTTTGTAGATGTTGTAGTCTGTGCAATGTGTGTTTCCTTGATGTCTATGAAGTGTTTGGCGATTGTGTGGCCTGTTGCTGTTGCTTCGGCAGTTTGGCTTGTGTGACATTTGTGGTCATGTTGGTTATCAGGAACTACTATTATCTTGCTCCAAACGCATAACCCACATGACCACAAATTTCATTGGTGGTACTTTTGGCTCCTCGAATTTTCGAATGTGTGGTTATGTCCACTTGAATCCACATCAATGAACTAAACTTGAGTCTCGTGCAATGAAGTGTGTTTTTGTGGGATATGGGATCAATCAAAAGGGTTACAAGTGTTATGATCTATCTTCTCGAAGATTTTATGTTTCCATGAATGTTGTTTTTCATGAGAAAGAGCTTGTCTACAAGACACCAATGACTAGTTTACCACTTCAGGGGGGGAAATTCTTTGTCTTAGATCTTTCTCAAACAACCAAAAGAACCGAAGGAAGAAAACCGCGTGACCGAGGATTTTACGGATGAAGACTTCGTCTCGGATTTGTTCCAAACAACTAGAAAGTGATACCACCGATCAACCTAACGAAGGGGAAATGTTCCCAATTGTTGAACAAACAACTCTAAACTCCGAAGATGATTCTTTCCATGATAGTACAATATCTCCTAACAAACCAACACAACCACTGGGTCAATCTTCTCCTTAGACTCATTCAAAGGTACCTATTAATCCTAATTCTATGATTGTTGATGATGTTAATTTTGAATCCCAATTGTCTCAATATCGTCTTCCAGCACGTTATAACCATGGTATACCACCCATTAAATATGAGTCTAATCCTAAATCCAAAGTTAGATATCCCATTAGTGATGACATGTCTTCGAAAAAATTGTCCAAGTCATATGCATCTTATGTGCTACAGTTATCGTCTATCTCTATTCCTAGTAAAGTGCAAGAAGCTTTAACAGATGCTAGATGGACCCAAGTCATGGCTAAAGAAATGGCAACACTTGAAAAGAATGCTACTTAAGAACTTGTGCCTTTACCGAAGGGAAAGAAGAGCGTGGGGTGTAGATGGGTAGTTGCAGTCAAGCATAAGGTGGATGAGACCATTGAAAGGTACAAAGCTCAGTTAGTTGCAAAAGGGTATACGCAATCTTATGGGATTAACTTTCAAGACACTTTTTTTGCACCAGTTGCCAAGCTTAACACAGCTAGAGTGCTCTTCTTGTTTACAGTTAATCGAGATTGACCACTTCTTCAATTTGATGTAAAAAATGCTTTCTTGCATGAGAATCTTACAAAAGAAGTGTATATGGATCTTCCTTTAGGTATAGAGAAATACTCAAATGTAACAAAGGTGTGCTAACTAGAAGGCATTGTATGGTTTAAAACAATCTCCAAGAGCTTGGTTCGGCAAATTCACCAAGTCTATGAAGAACTTCGGCTATAACAAAGCAATCAAATCACACTTTGTTTTTAAAGCACCGAATGGGTAGAATTACTGCTTTGATTATCTATGTTGATGATATGGTGGTGACAGTTGATGATCAAGATGAAATTGAGAACTTATAATGGCACTTGGCCTCAAAGTTTGAAATGAAACAACTTAGTGACTTGAAGTACTTTCTTGGGATTGAGGTAGCCAGATCAAAAAATGGTATTTTCTTATCTCAACGAAAATAGATTCTTGATTTGTTAACTGAAATAGGTATGCTTGGATGTAAGCCTTTGAATACTCTTTTTGAACAAAACCATAAGATGTTTCATTGTTTGGATACAACTTCTACTAATAAGGCAAGGTACCAGAGACTTGTTGGAAAATTGAGTTATTTGTCCCATAATAGGCCAAATATTACTTATTTAGTATGTGTAGTGAGCCAGTGTATGCATGATCCTCATAAACCTCACATGGATGTCGTGAAACATATATTTAGGTATTTGAAGTCTGCTCCAGGTAAAGAGTTACTTTTCCCTAAGCATAATCATCTGAAGGTAGAAGGTTATATTGATGCAGATTGGACTGGTTCAACTGATAACAAAAGATCTACTTCAGGATACTTTACTGTTGTAGGCGGAAACCTTGTGACTTGGAGGAGCAAAAAGCAACTGGTAGTAGCAAGGTCAATTTCTAAGAGATTTGGGGCTTGACTCTCAAGATGCAATGAAGTTCTATTGTGATAACACTTTAGCTATAGAGATTGCCCACAATTCAGTTCAACACAATTGAACAAAGCATGTGGAAATTGATAGACACTTCATTAAGGAGAAACTAGAAGTTGGGATCATTATATTTCCTTTTGCGAAGTCTAAAGACCAACTAACCGATATTCTTACCAAAGCCGTAGCCAACAATGCGTTTGATGATGCTTTAGATAAGTTAGGCATGTGTGATATCCATACTTCAACTTGAGGGGTAGTGCTATAATATCCTATAATTAAGAGATTGATAGTGTCAATCTTCTTAATTATAGAATATTATTTCTTTCATAATTATAGGATATTTTCTGTAATTAATTCTTTTATTTTTTCCTTGTAAATGTTTTTATATCTAGCGATATATAACAACTTAATGTTACTTACTTTTTTTAGTCTTTTAATGAGGTGTTAACACAAAGAACTCACAAAAACTATTAAATCTTTTTTTATTTTCTTTCTTTTTAACCATATTCAAGAAAATCATACGATAGATTATATATTGACCTGACACCATGATGCCAGAATTCCAGTCTACGGACCTGCAAACCAGGAATATTGTCAATTTAATTTGTAACCAAATAAATTAAGTGAGTGTAACAGCCCAGAAGGTCGACGCAATGTCAAGAAGCCCAAAATGGCTAGGTACCTTAACTAGCATACGAAGTTGGTCCGTTAATTAACATTTTATCGAGAGAGAGAGAAGCCGTTAACGGAGGATCCCTGAATTCTAAATATTCGTTAAGCTTCAGACCAGAGGTTTTCGAACAATTTATATTGTATGACTCACGAGTAGCTTCGAACTTTTTCCGCATGTTGACTGATGGGACTAATTTCCAATATCAAACTGTGATAAGTAACAGGGCCCATGGACGATGGCTTAAAAGCTGATTCTATCTGTCACTTTGTTAGATGCAAATTTTTGTTCCGGACAACTTCATTGGTTTAATTAAGCTATAACTAGAAGTCTAGAACCTAAGACAACCTTTCATTAAACTTCTGAAATGTTTTAGTTCTGTATCATTCTGGACCTTAGTATCAGACCGTAGACGTTGATTCATGTCCCCACAATAGCGTGGTGAGGAAATTTACTTTTAAGAAATGTACAATGTGATGCTGACAGAGATCCTGCAATCAAATGCAACAGGATTTTTTCTATAAAAGGAAGAAAGGAATACTAACAAAATGGAGGAAAACTCATATAGCGCCATGAATAAGCAAATCATATGATAAATTCATCCACATTTTAAAACTACAGATTAATTCTTTGTACAAACTAAACTTCTGTTCAGATTAGAGACAATTGTACAAAAGGTAAACATAAACAGAAATCTACAGAAGATTAGTGGTCTATACACATTTACAGCAATCAGAGTGGTTAGTTGCCGATTCAGCATCAGTTACAAGGGGTCAAAAAATCATCTGAATGAACTACCATGATAAGGGAAGCACCAAGAATTCGCATCTTCAATTACTTTTCACTCTCGTCAGGCAACTTTACTCAATTCTTCCTTGGCAGGTGAACTGGAAACCTTCCCTTCTGCCAAACTGCATCACCATGTCCACAGCACATTAGCAATAGAAATTGAGAGAGAGAAGAGCACATTGGTCTCATTGGAGTCTTATATGCAATCAAATGCATGAAAAAGAATTGACAATTCTTTCACTAGACAAGTGAGAAAACAATAATAAAGGTAAAAAGATAACCCACTTGGGAGAACTGGAGCCAGGCCCATCTCTTTCATAGGCAGAGAAGCTCTTGTAAAACTGAACAGAAATCAAGCTTTCAGTTGCAGTGACTGCCGGCGCAGGAGACCCCATCATGCTCAAACTGATACTGCTTCCGGAGCACAATCCTGTGATCATAGTTTCCACAATGTAAAGATACATATGTACACAATCAACAAGCAGGGACACACATACGCACACTCAAAGATTTAAAGAGACAAGTGGCATATTGATTATGCACAGACAGAAGAAACTTCTTAAGAAGAGACACCATAGTTTAAACCTGAAGATCATTTTTCTAGTAAAGGTTAAAAGTTGCTAGAAAAAGCGGTTGAAATGAAGTAATTTTGCATTGAATTCCATAGCATGTGAAGGCACAGTAAGCATAAAGTGAGGTATGGTTGGGACAAAAAGGTAAAGAATCTTGAAGTACATTGGTACTGATCACTGAAGTCCACGGTGCATATTAAATAAAAACTTTCCGCAGGTAATTTACTCTGTTCAGCAACTAATTTTGTTCGCAGAAATAAAAACATTCGATCAGTTATTCAACATGAAACACGGATAATTCAATTTAATGTAGAAGACAGTATTCCCATCAAATAGATGCTCCATTTCTGGTAAACACATTCCTTAGATATTGTTGTAAAGAACATATATGTTTAATTTAAAAAGTGTGAAAGCTACAGTTTATGTGAGTGCCATGGTCACATAGTGAGCAAGAAGCATGAAATGCAAGTGTCATAAGCAATCAATGATGTAATGCATAGAAACACAAGACTTTAACCTGAAAAGAGAGACTAGAAAAATAGTAGCTTCACCATGTTGCATACTTCGGAAAAAAAAAAAAAAGGCTTCACATTTGATCTTTACTACCCTAGCATTAAGACAGAGTACAAAAGCTTAATTGTACAATGAAAAACCCATGGCAAATTCTCATCAATGGTCTATTTTGGAAGTCTCGAGTGTCAATTGAATCTAGCCTACAAGCAAATAAATCAAATCCTGGAAACATGAATGGCAAATCAGACAACAAAAGAGATGATATGGATCAATTAGACTCTTAAATGCTACAATACCTTGAAAGACAATAATAAGACAGAAGATTAGCGTGATGATCATGGCAAATACAGTACTATTCGAAGCTGAAGCCTTGGCTGCTTTCATTCTTTTCAATGCTTTGATTCGTTCACTCCTGGCACGCTTTCTCATGGCAAGGTCAGCAATCTCCCTCACCAACTTCTGGTCAGCAGCATCTAGTGTTGGACCTTTAGGAGGTCGCGGTGGCTTGGGAGGCTTTCTAGCGTTGGTCTTCTTACGCTTCCCTTCCACACACTTCTTCTCCAAATTGCCCGCATTGTCACTACCCTCTTCTGAATTCTTGTCAATCAACAACTCCACATTTTCACCCGCAGCCTCACCAAATTTTGATGAATTGCTATACAAGTTGCCACATTTACCATGGACAGATCCATCAGAGCTAAATTGCCCAGTCCAAATCCAATTGAAAATTATATTTGTTTGTCTATTTGCTGAAACTGGATCCTTTGTTCTATCCTCCTCACTTGTTGTCTCACCACTTTCAAAATCTGCTTCGAGATCCCTTTCTTTTGAAGCAAAAAGATCCATTCAAGGTAAATCTCTATAATAGCTCCTCTCACCTTTAATTTGATTAATATACAAAGATCTACTGCAAACCATAGACCGATCCTTCCCTTCACATAACGTCAAATTTCCCTTAACCTTTAACAAATCTCAGTACCAATGTCACAAACCTAATGTAAACGAAAAACCCTTGTCACTTTAAAGTTTAAAGTAAACAAAGTGTTCAAGATCAAATGATATAACCCTTAATCAAAACACAGCTTAACTGAGAGGAAACAAATTAACCAAACTGCAAACCATAAATTCTCAACTCAGAAGAATAAGTTTATCCAAGAAACACAGATTGTCAGCACTATTCTCATTTATAATTGATTAAATAAGTGCTTCTGTCTCTGTAATTCTTAATCATAACATGTATCCTTGAATTTTCACAATTTAGGACTAAACCCCCAATAAATTTTGAATCTTTGACCACACAAGCTACACCTCAAACAATCAACAAAATCCTGCACTTCTAAAAACAACAGCACCAAAGTAAAAACCAAATGGCAAAACGTATCCGAGTTCTTCAATACAAACAGAAGAAAGTACAACCCAAACCAAGAATGACCAAAAAAACTTAACAACTGAAAACAAACAAATTTTTTTTCCTATGAAACAAAAAGGGGACGAAAAGGAAACCCTCACATTTGGTAATGCAGCGTCGAAAATGTAGAAAACAAAAGCAGAATTTCAAAAATCGCAAACAATTACACGGTCACGATGCCACAAATAAAAAAATTCAACCAACAATAAGCTAAAAAAAAAAAAAAAACAATTAAATTACATAATTCTTAATTAAAAAAAAAAAAAACAGAGAATGTACCTGCTAACTTAGTCAGGCAAGGAAGGCCCTCAAATCGATGGGTACGAAAGGAAGATGACAGCTATCCCTCATTCGAAAGAGCTTTCTATCTTAATTGATCATGTTTGAAAAGATGCTTTTTCAATATATATCTATTCAAAGAAAGGATATAATAATAGAAATATGGTAATATATATACATGAAAATGGAGAACAACGGTAAAAGAGAGATTGAACGTGTCATCCTTTTTAAGGACGACAACTGGCAGTAGCCAGTGATTACAAAGACGTGTCAAGGACTCAGTTTGAATATTATCTGACAAAGAATTAAAAAATTGGACTAATTTTGGAGATTTTTGGCTTTTATCTGGAGAAATTTAACAATCAAATAAAAACATAAAACAATAAATAGAAGAGTAAACAACATTTTTCCCACCCTAAGTTTAGCGAAAAGGCGAGTTTTCTTACTAAGGCAGTAATTCAGCCCATGAATGTCCCATCTCCATTATACATGTATTTGTCCATGAATAGATGCCCTAACAATATTTTGTGAGCATATGCTAAACGGATAAAGTGCAATTTATGTTTATATATAAGTATAATAGTGGGGGCTTCATCCCCTATAATATATTAATATGTACATTATGTGCCAGTGCCATCATGTTCCTAAATGGATGTTTGTCTTGAACAGTCTATTATATGCCCAACAATTTAGTCTTACAAATTTTGAAAGTTGAAACGATCAAATTTTCTTTCAAGGGTATAGATTAATAATTAACACATTAATTATATATCCTGGGTGTATTAACATTTTTATTATTTGATAGAATGCAGCTGGATTCACGGCCCTAAGATTGCAAACCGAGTTTTAGACGGCTGGTACATATCATATGGTTTCTTTTGTCTACCTAGTTAACAACTAAGGTACATTAGACCAAATGGATTTGAAAAAACATGAACAGATAGTACTTCAATTTGTAGCAGAGCCAAAAACGTTATGTTAGATATTAATTAACGTAATAACTAGTAAATATGATTAGCTCCTGTCACAACTTAGATCATATATTCAAACCGCTTCCAGTGATCAGAAAAGATCCTTTGGTTTACACATTGGAACTCTTGATTGCAACTTACTAATAAGTAGGCAAACATCCTTTAGTTTCCACATTCGAAGCTGCACCAACCGATAAGCAAGAGATTTCAAACCAGGCTAAGTGGAAAATGTAACTTTGCCAAGATAAGGTGCGGACATCGGTGATCTTATTCATATAAACTCCGTACTCATTTGTAAGCTTTAAAGAAATCTTCTCAGCCTCAATTCCTACGAAAACAACATTAGAATCACTGAAAAATTTCTTAATCAACTTGGGAATGTAGTCCATATCAGTTAGCAGCAGAATAAGACACTTTGTGTCTGGTGACAATTTTGTTGCTTAATAGCTTCATAGGATGTGACCTCCATTTACGTTTCTGATTGAATATTGAGAAGCCAGTTTTCCACTACAGTAGCATTTGCTGTGATTGTTGTGTCTATGTTTTTGCGGAACAGAACGAGTGCTTTCCATTTCTCGACCTCTAGCTCTTGTGAGTTGTGAGCTCGTTTTCCCTTATTTTCGCTTTTTTAATTTATAGTTATAGTAAGTAGAACTAGAAGGTCATAAGGTTGCATTTATTAGACTACTAAACTAAAGTAAATAGGAAACAACTTCGAGATACAGTTGCCACTTGCCAGCTTTAAAAACCGGATTTGTCCACTCATTGAACAGAAAGGCCATCTTTACCTTGACCGACCACATCACAGCCCATTAAATTAACCCTCTATATCAATCTAGTGATTCATAATTGATAACGATTAATATAATACTTAGTTCCAGGTGCTCCGGGGCTAATTGGAACAGGCCCAAACAATTTTTTGCCAAAATAGAAACTTTCCATTAATAATCACACTAGGTGCTAGCCCTAGTCCCACCCGTAAGTCTGATGTTTAACGAAATCATTTTCTCTTAAAAAGTTAGCACAACCAAGCCACCGAATAAACGTATCGAAAACCAAACTAATACCAATCCAACATAAAGCTTCCTGTACCGTAACGCATTTGATAATCCATTGTAGGCACCAACCTGACAAGAAATTTCACCAAATCGATTTTTTTTATATGAACTAAAAGCGCCAGGATGTTTAATGGCAAGACCAACCAGCTGCCTCAATGTCCATTTCTCAGACAAATTGATGTACCACAAAGCTTCTGAATGGTACAATCCACCTTGACAATACAAATCCTACGTTGAGACACAGAATATTGTGACAGACAAACATCAAAAGAAACACTTCTAATTTTACTCAAAAAATTTGTCAAGAAACAAACAAATATCAACTATTCAGCAGTTGGTAATTTCCAAATACCAGTAAATAGGCACTAACCGTAACCAAAAATTATCTCACATCCTTACAACAAAGTTCTGAAGAATACTGAGCTACCAGATTGAGATGGAACCAACTGAACAAAACATTCCTAGTGAAACATTGTTCCTTCCCAAGTCCAAATAACCTACTTAGCCATTCAGCTTCCCCTGGTGATTACTCCAACCCAGATTTTGTGGAACCTGAAAATTTTTAAAGACGAAATTTTCAGTTAATGAAGAAAAAGCAAAACAAAATCTGTAATGCCCACAAAAATCACCCACGCCCAAACAAAAAGCTATACAATCATTCATCCTCCTCAAAGTTGCAAACTCGCAGTACCAGTTTTAAGACAGAAACATGTCTCACGTGTTGTGAAAACTTACCATTAAATTTAAGAAACAGAGATTTTGAAATTTAAAATTTAGTGGAAAACAAAATAAAATGCCAAAGATTAAAATTTTCTATTCTCTATTCAATTAAAAAGTGAGACAGCTAGCGCTAAATACCTGTATGGCAAATTAGTATCGATTGTAAGATTTCCCGAAGTCTTCACGTCTCTGACGTTGAAACCCACCATAGTTGTCATGAGACCTTGAAGGATGATAATCTTCCATTGGGTTTGTATACCTGCCCCTTGAATCCATAGGTACACTGGCCCCAGCATAGTGAGGATTGGTTGAGGAACCATCATAGCTGGAATAGTTATGCTGCTTATAACCACCAAAACCTGAGATAGACATTTGTTCCCGCACTTGCTGTTGACGCCTTTGGGCATCAAGTTGAAGAAAATCCTCCCACTGTTTTGCATGCATGCCTCTTAGATGAGTCAGTTTCTTAGTGTAATTCTCTGTCATCTCCCTCATAGTCTGAAATACATAACATCACAAGCAAATTAATTGTGTTCCTAGTTCATACTGCAAACAGCCAGAGGGCTTGAATCTTTGTTTTTCATGAATGCGGAAGACCTCATAACAGCAGTTTTATATAGGGGAAGAATACATCTTTATATGAAAAAAAAAAAAAAAAAAAAAGTTTACAGACAATGGTTTATCAATACTGAATATATTAGCTACATGGTCATGCCTAACATTGGACCCAAGACTTTGTGAATATAGCCCTTAGTAAACAAGAACAAAAACAAAAATTAAAGAGGACAAGGAGATGGGGGGAACAAAGAGTCAAAGAACCAGCATCACCTGATAATTTGAGGAAATAAATATAAAATGCTAACTCACTTCTGAGTCTATCCTTCCAATAGTAAACCTACATGGAATATGCCTAACACCAAGAGAATGACAACTCACTCAGATTGTGTCTAACAGAGTCCTTTGACTACACATGAATTAGAGCCAACATATCCAGCAGTTTCAGGTGAACATAAAATACAAAATACTTAAGAGCTAGGATTTTCGGTTGAGGCAATTATCACAAGAAGCATGCATTACACTGAACTTAATAACATACATACCTCACGATGCTTAAAATTCTCTTCATCTTCTTCCTTGTCCCGAATTCTCCCAAGTTCCATTGCTTCCCTCTTATACTCCACCTCTAAATCTTCTAATGTCTGCAAAAAGGTAGGGTGTTCCATCTGACTGGTGGAATGCATATCAGATCCCCGTCTCTCAGTATCCCATCCATCATTCCTATAACCAACCATGCTCTGATTATGACCATCATATGAATTATACAAGTTGCCAGCATAAGGGGGACCACGAGGAGATTTAGAATGGCTTGAACGACTTCTAGCTCCATCATTACCATAAGCTTCATGAAATGAACATAATGTTAAGCACTTGATTCGAGATGCTAACATAGATGGTATCTTTAACTAGACATACTATCTTATATTCACATAGTGAATCGATCCGTTGCAATCCAGATATGCTTTCAGTAAATAATTTCGTTTTGGAGACAATCCGATCAATTCAGACCCACTCACGAAAGTACTTCAGATTCGAACACATAATGCTTGAACATAAGAACTTACCTCTTGCTGCAACAAATGATAAGCGACAAGCAGAATCATTAAGAATTCAAAGTTGGGAACTAATTGTTATAAGTCACATAAAATGACTCCAGGGACCTAACAAGCTACGAGCATGGAATTACCAGCTTTCTATGGATGCCGTAAAGATACCCTATGCTGTCCCTACCTTGTGGAGAACCCCTTGAAAATTTCTGAAGATCTTCACGAACACGGTCTTCTACAACCTTATCTTGCCTACCAAACCGCTGGTGAAACTGTGATGCATTATGTGAACTCGGATGAGACCTTTGGGATTCAGAGCGTCGCAACTGTGTACCAACAGGATTTCGTTCAGGTGACCTAGACCTGCTCCTGTGAGAATTAGATGAACCTCTCTGGTCACCCTCCTCCTTAATAACTTTGTGCACTGCATCTACACCTTTTGCCAGAATTAACCTATCCTTGCCACTGACAATTATAAATTTCTCCTCCATTTTAATTTTGCAACCGATGTCCTTTTCAATCCTTTGTATAACTTTCTCTGTGAAAAGAGCTTTGACATGCTTTTCTCTAGCAGGTACCCTTTCAAAAAAATCTTGAGACTTGCGATTTGCTCCGAGAGTAGAGGGGCACCCCTATATATGTACCAGGTGACATAGGATTGAATAGAAAAGAAAAGTCAAAAAAGAAAGTTCTCAAAAAATAATATTGGTAAGAAAAACGAAAATCTCCCCCACCACCATTCTGAATGCATGTCTCTGTTGTCACTGGGAAAAAGATGTTCAATGTTGGGGTTGAAAGAGGTGGTGGAGAGGAGAATCCATATTGATTGAACCAAATTTAAGACAGACTAAAATAAAGAAAAACTTCAGCATCTTAAAAACAGGTTCACTAAAACAAAATAATTAACTTGCAGGCAGGCACAAATGCAATTTTACTTAGGTCCAAGTTGGCCTGGTATAGGCTAATGTGAACCTGAAAATAAAGTAGGAAGCTAGGATGTAAGAATGAAAACTGTGCCAATCATAAAAAGTATGAAAAACATTAAGCACATTCCATCAAACTATCAATAACTAAAAGCAATTTGTAGCTAATACAGGAAACAACCAGTCTAAATATATAAACGTGCAGTGTACGTATGTATGCTTCTATGTATGAAGCTAATATACAAATTTTTGTATCAGATACATCTACCAGTCATTTTCAGGTAAATGACACCAATACCTGAGTAAAGTGACCTGATTCTCCACATATTTTGCAAATCATTTCTTCTTCTTTCCTTTTCTTCCAATTCCTTTCAGTAGCTTTTGATTTAGCCTCCCAAACCTTAGCTTCTCTGCTAGTGAAATCAGTCGGGACAGCATTTGGGTCACGTGACTCCTCTTCCTCATCTGAACCTGCATGAGAACGCTTGCTTGGTTTTGCCCTCTCTACAGAACTGGCAACTGTGGTTCCTGGTGGGCCAGTATATTCCTTGTACAGTTCACTAAAATCATCATCATCATCTGGATCCGGTCTTTTTGCCATGCAAAATAAAGTTAACTAAGTATGACTCCTGCACTACCAGCATAAATCTTATCTAATCAAGATCCAGAACGGAATTGAACAAACTGATGCACAACAAATGGGAAGACAACATAAAACACATAAATGGTTAAAATTTAAGCATGTCCAATCAAAACAAGCACCTAAATTTATTTATTAAAATTACCGGTGTAAAATCAACTGAAATACTATAAATGCCATATAAAAAAAAAAATAGCATAAAATTTCAGCAGTTGTATAACCTTTTTAAACTAAAAGCAGACTTAATATACGGAATTGGGAATACAAAATGTTTTCGCAACATAAGGGAATAAAGTAATACGAAACAATATATTACAAAAGCAAACATAATACACTAACATAAAATTTGTTATATGCAAAGCCCACCCTTGTATAGATTACGCCCATTAATCATTTGTTTTTTGTTTTTTTTTTTAAACTCCATAGACAGAGAATGGAAACCAAAAATTACATGGTTAATTATGATGATTGATTGTATCAAACTCAAATTACAACCAATTTCGGAACAAAGAAATGAATAATTCACTTGTTCGAGACGGACTATTATTAAATTCCATGAATGATGAACAAAATTGAAATCATAGTACAGAAGGAATTGTAAACAAAAGACTTGTTCACAAGAAATAAATCAGACGATAAGATAAGAAGAAATCGATACCTGAAAAGGACGGGTCGTGCGGCGAATGAGATTCTCACTTCAGCTCTTCCGTCTTCGATCCCGACCAAATAAGAGTTAAACGAGGCAAATAATAAAAAAGTATAAACGAAATAAAGTCCACCTTTTTGGGTAATGTTCATTGTAGATATTCACTTTAGAAAATTACTTTTTTGCCCCTGATACTCTTTACAAATGTTTCATGTGGTCCTCTTATGACGTGCGCATTTTTTCTGAACTCCCGTGTTGGTGCAGCCATGTACGTGAGCTTTTATTTATGCTTTAGAGCGCGTTTGATATAGGGAATGTTATATTACTATAAAGTTAGATTACCTTGAAGATTATTAAAAATATTTAGGAAAATATGTTTGGTTAATTGATAGATATGTTATATTAATATGTTTAGTTAGGAGAAATAAATTAATAGGTATGTTATTTAAATTATTGAATTGTCCTCTAATTAAATATTATTTTTTAATATTGACTATTATTTTGATTATTATAACCCTCCTGCATTTAAAAACTTAGCAAAAACAACCCCATAATAAAAAGTTTAGAAAATCAACTAAGCACCCCCACCAACCCAGCCACTGTCGTCCGCCGGCAACCAACTCAAGCCACCAGCAACCTAACGGCACACGAAAGGCAAAAAATGGTCTCTGTGCGCTGTAAGGTCATTTCCGACCAAAGATCTGGCCAGAAATAGCCAAATATGACAGATCTGGCCAGATGTGACAGATCTAGCCGTCGACGGCCAAATTGATGATGGATTCGGTCGTCAACGGTCAGATCCGTCGATCTGGCAGTCAACGGCCAATCTAGCCGAAAATGCCCATATCGACGCACGTCGGCCATTTTCTGCCTGTCGTGCGCCGTTTCGACGATGGTCATGGCTGGCCACGGCGGTGGTTGCCGGCAACAGGCGGCGACAGGTGGGTGGGGGTGGTGGCTTGGGTGGGTTACAATTTGTTTTGAATTCAAGGGTAATTTTGTCCAAAAAGTTAATTAATTTGGGTGAAATATTAAAAGTCATATTCATGTAAATAAATTTAAAAATCAGGGCATTATTGTCCTAAAATTTTATTAATAAGGGATAGAATTGTAACAAAAAAAGATAATCTTAGTAATCTTAGAATACCTAAGAAAATTGAGGTAATCAAATTACCTCCAATATTATCAATAGTAACCACTATTGATATTTGAAAATTACCGGTATCTTATATTACTTGACACTTGATAACCAAACACGGTATTCAAGTAATATAAGATGACTTAACCCCAGTAATCCCACATTACCCCCAACCAAACGTCCCCTTTTTCAACTCATTATAAACCAATGTTTCTCTAGTTAGTTCTATTATATTATTATTTATTTATATTCAATTATATGATTTTTTTTTTTGTGTGTTTAACTTATAAACAAACTACTAAAATAATTTACATATGTGAATATTTAAAACAACATTACATCATTTTAAAGCAAAGCATGGGATATTTGCTTGAAAGACCCAATATTATACTAAACCAAAATTATTTATATTACAAAAACAATTTAAAAGTAATTCAATAATGTCATTCGCAACATTTCACATGGATAATTCAAAATCCATATCTCAACATGATTTATCATCCTATTTGGTTGCTTTTTAATATAATTTATCCAATTATCAACTCATTTACATGTCCATAATTATATGAGAAATAAATCATTTAAGATTAAAATTTTGACATCAACGAGAACAAGTTAAATCACCCTTCAATTCTCTCGTAGGAAAAAAATACCCAACGAAAATAACTTGTGTCTGATAAATTTGAAGACAATCAACTAGTTATCACCAAGTCACAACTCAGTGCCTCTTTGAGTCACTTATTGTAGGCCAAAAGAGTTGTGCAGACCCAAGGTTTGCTGAAACAACAAGTTGGTACCCAAAAAATTTTGAAATGACAAACAGATACCTTCCGTCATGTGCTATTAGTGATTTATGTTTGTTCATAGTTAAAAGACTAAAATGCCCTTAAAAGTTTGATATTTTAGTTTTTTTATAAATTTCTAAAAAACCCCCTAGGTTTGCTAATTTAACTAAACACCTCCAATATATAAAAAGTTTGTTAAATGACAAAAAACACCCCCACACCTGCAGTGCCAGTGGCCGAAAATTGCGTTACGACACAGACCCCATCGGATCTGTGTCGTAACGCGTCAATCTGGCCTTTTTCGGCCAGATCCGTGGCTGATCTGGCTGTCGACGTCGCAGATGGAGTTTTGCGACCACGACGACCAGATCTAGATGTAGATCTGGCCTTTTTCGGAAAAGGCCAAATCGACACGTCGAGGCCGCAAAACTCCATCTGCTGCCTCGAAGGCCAGATCGACACGTTACGACACAGATCCGACGGGTCTGTGTCGTAACGCAATTTTCAGGCCAGATTCCGGCGGTGGTGGCTGGAATCTGGCACTGCGGGTGTGGGGGTGTTTTTGTTATTTAACAAACTTTTCATATACAGGAGTGTTTAGTTAAATTAGCAAACCTAGGGGTTTTTTTAGAAATTTATAAAAAACTAAAATATCAAACTTTTAAGGGCATTTTAGTTTTTTCACTATGAACAAACAGAAATCACTAACAGCACATGATGGAAGGTACCTGTTTGTCGTTTCAAAACCTTTTGGGTACCAACTTATCGTTTCAGCAAACCTTGGGTATGCGTAAGTCGTTCGGCCTTTATTGTAAGAACCTAGCTATGGGTTACTAGCCACATGAGATTTTTTAACGGTTGTTTTTATTTTAATTTTTGTTATTGATTTCGGATTCTAGAATTTCGACATTTTCTCTTCAACCCATGTCATGTAACATGTTGATTTTATTAATTGTTTTACAGGTTGGGGTTGGGTGCGAGGCGAATCACTTTCCTGTAAGAATTTTTATTTTTCTTTCAAGAACGGGTAGGATATTTATATAAGAGCATCTCCATGGTGCTCTTTATTTTAAAGAGTATCTTTCATATAATTAAATAACATCTTTATTGATTTTTAGATATAAAGAACAAAATTTTTATTCAAATCCAATAGACTCTTTAAATTCTTTAAATTTTAGGAGAGAGAATGTGTTTTTCCAAGAAGAAAACTTAATAAGAGAAATAAATCATAAATAAAATATATAGAAACTTGCAATTTATTATTTAAAATTAGGATAGAGAGTGAAATTTGCCTTGTGGAGAGCCAAACTCACTATTTAATTTATATTTAAAGAATAAAGAGTCTGTTGGACTTTTGTTTCTATGGATAAACTCTTTATAATAAAGAGTTTGGGTCATATAAAGAATATTTTGGAGATGCTCTAATTTGCACAGATCAATATTTAACAAATGGATAAGTTGTTATTTTCTAAAACTGTGCTAGGATATTTGTCTTTTCATCAAACTTGTAGCATATTCATGTGATCTTCCAAAATAATAATTATAAATGTTTATCTCAACGGTGATTTTTCAAATTTTCATTTTGCATCAAGGGTTAACATTTTTATGGTCGAACAACTTACAAGTACAGAATATGGTACTTTCTGTCCTATACTGTTAGTGATTTTTGTTTCATAAAGGGCAATATAGTAATTTTGTACTGTCTTGAAACTTTTAACTTTTAAATTATCACCTTGATTTATGGACACGTGTCCTATTAGGTTGACTTTGCAAAAAAACCAAAAGTTTTACCTCTTCGTTTCCTTCTCGTTTGTCTCTAACTCTCTGAATGAGTTTTTTAATGAAGTTGTTGCCATCATTTGGAGACCATCGGTGACGATAGTGAAACGGAAACCAGCAATAGTGGAGGAGTTTAAATCGACAATAGTGGCAGAGTGAGTTCACTGAACGGCAACGAACCCTAAACAAAGACGATCGACGACGTCTGAGGGAGAGAATCGTGGGGTAACGACGAAGGTGGAGAACGACTGAACTAAGGTCGGTGTTATTAACGGTATAAATCGTCGACAATGACCGAACAACAAAAATCAAAGGGTTAGCCGAAAGTTTCTTCTCGGTTTTCTTGTTTGTTCTTCGGTTTTTTCTTATTTTAGTGCATTTCTAAGTTTTTAGTTTTTCTTATTTGTTCTTGGTTTTTCTTACTTGCATGTTTGGTTGTTTTTAAAGTTTTTTGTTTGTTTGTTTGGTTTAGGGTCATGGGGTAACATTTTAGCAATAAAAATAGTCAAATTCAGAAGAAAGTGAAAAAAAAAATAGTTGCTTAAACCAATAGCAGAGAACAAGTGAAGAAGAAAGGAAATTATAAGAGAGTTGTTGCAATCCCAAAAGACAAGGAAAAAGACCAAACAACCATAAACTGAGCTTGTAAAGGCAGAAACAAATACATAATAAACGAGAAGAAGAATGAGAAAGATTGTTAGTGGATAAAACATACCAATCAAAAGTATAGAGAGAGAGAGAGGTGGACATCAAATCCTAGTTACTCAACTGCTTCAACGATAACTGGTTTCTCAATTTATGTCATGTTATCGCTCAGATATTTTATTATTTCAACTATTAAATTAAGTTAAAACAAAATTGTAGATGTTGTACACTTTGAGTTGAAGAAGAGCTGTCAACTTTTTATCCATGTTATGGAGCTTCGATGGTCAGAGACGATTCTTTCTACTTTAAGAGGTGAGGTAAAGGTTACATGCAGGATCATTGAACCACGTGTGTCGTCATTTAGACTTAATTAGCATTCTCAATCTAACTCTTAACAATAACTTATTTAAGGGATGTAAGCTTATATTTGTTCTTCGGTTTTTTCTTATTTTACTTGCATGTTTGGTTGTTTTTAAAGTTTTTTGTTTGTTTGTTTTTCTTGGTTTTCTTGGTCTTTGTTTGTTTGTTTGGTTTAGGGTTTGTTCTTAATAGACTTAATTATATGATGTCCTTCATTTGTGTGTTTGGTTTAGGGTTTGTTCTTCATTTGTGATGTTTGGTACTACATTTTGTTAATGAGGTATGGTATATCAGCTAGAAAACTAGGTATGCACTGCTACTAGTAGGAAAGAGTACT